AGAGTGTGTGTGTGTGGGGGGGGGGGGGGGCGAGAAAGGTATATTTGGCTCTTCCCTCAATCCACCTAAAGAATATGGGAGGGGAAAGAGAAACACATCAAACACCTCAAAGCCAGGTGAGAAAAACTGAAAGGACATCTGCGTCCCCTCGTAAGAACAGATTCATTAAAGCAAAGAAGTGATGATTTTAACCATCTAATCTGACCAAGCCAAGAATTTCATCCAGAAATTCCTCCACGTCAATACCCTGTGTTTGAGCTGAAGTATATTATTTTACAAAGACATCTAGTTTTGACTTAAGACTTCAGGTGATGGAAAAGCCACAACCCTTGATAAGCTGTTCCAATAGTTAAGTACCCAAACTTAAAAATGTGTGGTTTATCTATAGCCTGAATTAATCTATTTTAGGCTTCTTAGGCAGTCTCTGGTCTTGTCTGCTAGAATAAAGAGCCCTTTACAGGTACTAACAAGTGATCAAGTCACCTCTTAACCTTCCCTTTGATAAATTAAATAGATTGAGCTTCCTAAATCTTTCACTGAATGGTGAGTTTTCCAGACCTTAACTCATTTTTGCAGCTCTCTTCTGAACCCTTTCCAATTTTTCAACATCCTTTTTAAAGTGTTGACACCAGAACTGGACACACATTCCAATAACGATTTCACCAATGCTGTTTAGAGGTAATACTACCGCTCTATTCCTGCTCAATGTTTCCCAGCTTATACAACCAGGTACCCACCACGGCCCTTAAATACTCTTCGGAATCACTGCTTTTGAGGATACAGTTTGCCATAGGGGTAAGATCCAGGCTCTGATCTGGCACGCCATCCTTGGGCATACCCTCAAAAGGTCCGCTTAGAACCTGTCAACTGTTTCACGGGCCCAGACGTAGAGGCTGGGGAGGTGTGCGGCACATGCTTCCTCCTGAAGCCCTTGTTCCTCCGCCGGCCGAAGTCCTGTCTCTGCTGGTATTGCAGCAGGTAAAATCGGCTCATAGGTTGGGACTTGTACTGTTTGCGCATTGGGGCTGAGGTGAAGGCCCAACGACTTTAGAGTGGCCCTTTTTTTAAGGTTGTGAAGCCAAGCGTCAGTTTGTTTGGAAAAGAGGGAATTCCCCTCAAACGGAAGGTCCTGAATTGTTTGTTGGACCTCGTGGGGCAGTCCAGAGATCTTAAGCCAAGAGCTCCGTCTCATGACCATCTCTGTGGACATAGTTCTAGCTGCCGGATCCAAGGCCTCCTTAAGGGATGCTTTGACCACAGCCTTACTCTCCTCTATAAGGGCCACGAATTCAGATAAGAGAGTTCCTTAAATGTTATCATCACTGACTAGAATTAAAATCACAGCAGCCCTGGTGGTTTGATATCCTCAGCAGAAGGCCCTCTGTTGAATATTCCTTCCTGCCCAATAAACCCCGTTTCCCGGCCTCTCTCACTTTGGGTGATGGGCCTTGCTGCCTTTGTGTCTCTCATTCGTTCGCAGCAGCAATGACTAGGAATCCTGGAGGGGGATGGGTGTATAGATACTTAAAACCGCTTGGGGGGTAAAAAGTACTTTCTTTCCACCTGCTTCGCTGTGAGCTGGAGCGATGCAGGGGGTGGCCAGAGACCCTTCATAAATTGCAAGATGGCCTCATTCAAGGACAGGGCCACTTTTGCCGATCCTGAAAGTGCTAATATGTACACTAAGCCACGGGCTGACTCTGCGATCTCCTCTAACTGTATCCCCAGGTTCTGGGCTACATGACGCAAAAGTTCTTGGTGAGCCTTTTAATCATCTTGAGTGGGTGCTATGGTCATCCCCACCACTGCCTTATTGGGGGAAGACGACAATGAGGCTTGGACTGACACCAGGCCTTGCATGTCCTTTCTTGTTGGTGGGTCCTCCACAGGGGTATCCTGTGCTTCAGCCACCTCGGCACCCAGAAACAAACCCTTTTCTGAGGGGAATAGTGGGGGAGCTCTCACTTTTGAGGGCGCTGAGTGGGATCACCCTGCATGAGAACCTTGGAATGGTTGAACCATCCAAGGGGTCCACATCGGCCACAGGAGTAGCATTTATCATTGGGTCAGTGGCCATGCTGATGGGATGAGCCCTTGTGCCACGGCTGTGGAATGCCCATGGTCAACTTGATGTCTGCTCCCTCCTGACCGAGGAAGTACTTGTTGCCAAATTGGGCTGCCGCTACGATGAGGGGCAAAGTGCTGCCTCCATGAGAAGGATTTTGAGTCTGTTTTTTCTCTCCTCCTTTGTCCTGGGCTTAAAGTTTTTACAAATCCAGCACCATTCCTGAATATGACAGTCTCTCAGCTTTCATGCAGGTCACTAACTGGCATGGGCTTGTGGCACGCCACGCATTGTTTGAAGCCATGGGACCGAGGCATGCTCCAGTGTCTCAGGAGGACTAGTCCTGCAGGACAGGAACCTACTAAGGGCTTGTCTACACTGGCAATTAACAACGCTGCAACTTTCTCACTCAGAGGTGTGAAAGAACACCCCCGAGTGCAGCAAGTTGCAGCGCTATAAAGCGCCAGTGTAAACAGTGCCCCAAGCGCTAGAAGCCAAGCTCTCAGCACTGGGAGCTATGCCCCTTGTGGAGGTGGTTTTTTTTAGAGCGCTGGGAGAGCTCTCTCACAGTGCTGCACCGCGACCACACAAGGCACGTAAAGCATTGCCAGTGTAGGCTAGCCCTAAGTACCCTAAGCACCCTAAGCGATCTAACTACTTGTTAATTTATTCTAATCCTAACTATTTACATGCCATTTAAAAATCTATTTACAGGATAAAGAAAACCACTCAGGAGAATCACTTGCAAAGCAAGAGACAAACAGCGTTCCAGCAACCGTCACAGGCGGTAAGAAGGAACTGAAGGTGTGGCAGGATGTCACATACCTATATACTGCAGTATGAGGGTGCCACTCCAGGGGGCACCAGAGTCAAGCCGATGGATACCACTAGGGGAAAAACTTCTGGTGACGGTGCACGCACACCTACATTGGAACAGACATGAGCAAGCAGTCAAAGAACTCCAGTTACTATAAGGTAAGTAACCTTCATTTCCTCTTTGAGTGCTGGTCCCTATGGGTATTTGCTGTGGGTGACTTCCTGTGATGCTTCCCAGGGAACCCAGGGTTGTGAGGCACCTTGCTACCACCTGCCCTTAGTGTGAGGAAACCCTGTCTGTGCCTGCCAGAGTCAGTTCTCCAACTGCACTGATCTATGCAACATGCACTCCTCTCTAGATCTACGCAGAAACTACTCTCTCTCTACAGGTTAGCCAAAGGCACACACCAACCCCCAAACATCTCCCCAGAGTGTCCAGCCCATTCCATTGGACACTCACAATGTTCACAGATCCGCTGCTTCCAAAGAAACAGTATTTCCCCCAACTTACAGTTGCACCTCAGATCATCTCTGTGCTTAACCTTTAGATATATTTACAGAAAAATCAAATAAAAGTTTATTTAACAAAGAATAGCGATTCAAGTGATAGCAAATAGAAATACTGGAAACATGGTTATATACAAAATAAAATAATGTACATTTTAGAGCCTACAGATAATTAACAAAATAGTCTCATGTCTAGCATAGTGCTTAACAGCACTTCACCTGATACCTCTTTTCATGAGGCACAACACTGTCAGCTTGATGGGGTCTAAATTAGCTGTTACCACTCAAGAAACAGATCGTGGAGTCAATGTGGATAGTTCTCTGAAAACATCCACTCAATATGCAGTGGCAGTCCAAAAAGTGAACGGAATGTTGGGAATCATTAAGAAAGGGATAGAAATAAAAAAATATATTGCCTCTATATAAATCCATGGTACCCCCACATCTTAAACACTGTATGCAGATGTGGTCGCCCCATTTCAAAAAAAGATGTATTGGAATTGGAAAAGGTTCAGAAAAGGACAACAAAAATGGGGTATGGAACGGTTTCCATATGAGGAGAGATTAATAAGACTGGGACTTTTCAGCTTGAAAAAGAGACGACTAAGGGGGGATATGACAGAGGTCTATAAAATCATGACTGGTGTGGAGAAAGTAAATAAAAAAGTGTTATGTACGCTGTCTCATAACACAAGAACTAGGGGTCACCAAGTGAAATTAATAGGCAGCAAGTTTAAAACAAACAAAAGGAAGTATTTTTCTTTCATACAACGCACAGTCAACCTGTGGAACTCCTTGCAAGAGGATGTTGTGAAGGCCAGGACTATAACAGGGTTCAAAAAAGAACTAGATAAATTCATGGAGGATAGGTCCATCAGTGGCTATTAGCCAGGATGGTCAGGGATAGTGTCCCTAGCATCTGTTAGCCAGAAACTGGGAATGGGAGACAGTGGATGGATCACTTGATGATTACCTGTTCTGTTCACTCCCTCTAGGGCACCTGGCATTGGCCACTGTTGGAAGACAGAACACTGGGCTAGATGGACCTTTGGTCTGACCCAGTATGGCTGTTCTTATGTTAGCTTGCCTCCTCAGTGAAGGATCCATCCTTAGAGGGTTTTTAAGGCCCGGCTTGACAAAGCCCTGGCTGGGATGATTTAGTTGGGGGTGGTCCTGCTTCGAGCAGGGGGTTGGACTAGATGACCTCCTGAGGTCTCTTCCAACCCTAATCTTTTATGATTCTATGAACCAGAGTGTCTCCTGGTACCCCTAGAAACAAGTATCAAGACAATCATTTATCCTTATTCATAAACAGGACATCCCCTGCTTACTGTTTCTTCTTGGCTTTCCTCTTATTGATTTCGCAATCTCTTGATTAGCACCAGGCTCAATATGCAAATAGGCATACACTGTGAGGCAGACAATACCTAATACGCATATGACCAGACAGGGAGATAAACATCTGTTACCACCTGTCTGAAACAAAAAGTGTTACTAACCTTTCTGGAACTACTGTTCTTCGAGAGGCGTTGCCCATTCCGCATTAGGTGTGTGCGTGCTGTGAAGTCACCAGAAATTTTTTCCAGTGATCCGCACTGAGTCGGCTCTAGCTCTCTCTGGTGTTGCGTGCTCATGTGCCAGTATAAGGGGCCCAGCCAAACCTGCACCCTCTCAGTTCCTTTTTTGCCAGCCAACTCTGACAGAGGGTTAGGGGGTCGTGGAATGGACATAGAATCATAGAAGATTAGGGTTGGAAGAGACCTCAGGAGGTCATCTAGTCCAATGCCCTGCTCAAAGCAGGAGCATATGCAACACATCTCTAAGAGTAAGTTATGGAAAGGTTAGAAACTGTTTTTCTTCGAGTGCTTGCATATGTCCATTCCATGTTAGGTGACTCCCAAGCAGTACCATAGGAGGTGGGATCGGAGTTCATGGACATGCTGACCGCAACACAGCTTGACCAAAAATGGAATCATCTCTAGCTTGCTGGGTGATGGCACAGTGGCAAGAAAACATATGTACCAATAACCAAGTCACCATTCTGCAGATGTCCTGGATTGGCACCTGGGCCAGGAATGCTGCTGAGGAAGCTTGTGTCCTTTTAGAATGGGCCATCACTATAGCCAGTGGTGGGAACTCTGCCTGCTCGTAGCATGTGTGAATGCATGATGTGATCCAGGATGAGATTCCTCTGAGCTGAAATAGGAAGGCCTTTCATCCTGTCCGCTACTGCCACAAAGAGTTGTGTGGATCTACGGAACTTTTTGTCCTCTCAATGTAGAATGCCAGGGTACATCTAATGTCCAATGTGCGGTGACGTTGCGTCTCCCTGTTCGTGTGCAGTTTTGGGAAGAAAACTAGCAGAAAAATAGCCTGATTACGGTGAAATTGCGAAACCACCTTTGAGAGGAATGCAAGGTGAGAGCAAAGCTGTCCCTTGTCCTTAAAGAAGGCTGTACAGGGCCCTGATCTCCTGGCTAAAGTTATAGTCACCAAAAAGGCCACCTTCCAGGAAAAGTTTGACAAGGGGCATGTTGTCAGCAGCTTGAACAGGGGGTCCATGAGTTTTGACAAGACCAGGTTCAGAACCCACAGGAGAATGGGTTCCCAAATCTGAGGGTATAGTCTTTCCAGGCTCTTGAGAAAACAAACAGTCATCTCAAGCGAGAAAACTGATCTGCCATCCACCGGGGTGTGGAATGCAGAAATCGCTGCCAGGTGTACTTTAACTGATGAAATTGCCAGACCTTGCTGTTTCAGATGTAGCAAATACTCCAGAACGGCCTGCAGAGATGACCACATGGGCGAGAGACCTTGCTGGGAAGAGCAAATGGAAAAACACTTCCATTTGGCGAGGTATGTAGCCCTGGTAGAGAGCTTCCTGCTACCTAGCAGAATCTGGTGGACTTGCTCCAAACAGGCCAGCTCCTTAGGATTTAGCCATAGAGCTTCCAAGCTGTCAGGTGAAGGAAGCTGACGTTTGGGTGGAGCATTCAACCGTGGTCCTGCTATATCAGGTCTGGGAGGAGAGAGTGGCATCAGAGTCGCTACTAAAAGGCCCAACAGCATGGCAAACCAGTGTTCGCAGGGCTAGGCTGGGGCTACAAAAATGACCCACTCTCTGTCTTGCTTGATCTTCAATAGGACCTTGTGCACTAGAAGAATGGGGGTGGGGGAGGGGGGGGAAGTGTCCAGTCCAAGAGAGCAGGAAAGCGTCCATGAGTGAGCCCTGGCTGTGGCCTCACAGGGAGCAGAATGGGTGACATTTCCTATTCTGCCTGATTGAAAAACAGGTCTAACTGGGGAGTCCCCCACTGATAGAAAATGATCTTTACTAGGTCAGAGCAACAGGGACCACTCATGGTGATTGGAAAGGTGATCTGCCAGCTTGTTGCGGGCTCTTGGAAGGTGAAAAGCTTTGAGATGGATTGAGTGTGTTATGCAGAACTCCCACAAGCAAATAGTTTCCTGACTTGGGGGGGTGGCGGAAGGAAAAAAGGGGGGGGGGAGGATGAGCTCCTCCCTGCTTGGTGAGTTGAACATGGCTTCCATACAGTCAGTGAGTACTAGCACATTCTGTTCATGATGTGGGAGAACACCTGATAGGTCAGGCAGACTGCTCTTAGCACCGATATTTGTATGTAGGAAAGCTCCTCCTGGGACCACAGGCCCTGCATCCCGAGGTGCCCTAGGTGAGACCCTCATCTTAGATCTGACGCATCCGAAATTAGGGATAATGAGGGCTTGGGTCTGTTGAAGGGAATCACCTGAGCGGACCAACAGAGGATCCCCCCCACCAGTTGATGGAGGAAAGGACCGGGCAGGAACCATGAGCACTGAGTCCAAGTGATGGCAACTTAGTGAGTACACCAAGGCTAGTCAAGCCTGAAGGGGTCTGAGGCGTTGCCTCACATGCTGCACTACGTATGTGCACGTGGCCATGTGGCTAAACTATTAATGACACCATTGTTTGGAAGTGGGCTTCTGGGAGGAAAGCCCTGTCCTGGGAGAAATCAAGCACTGCTCTGTGATAAACTCTATCCTCTGTACAGGCCTAGCACCTGAAAGGTCGACTGTATGAGGCAGATACTGGCCTGCACCTGGGCCTGGGACCGGCCTTTGACCAGCCAGTCATTGAGGTTCAGGAAGACTTGTAGCCCTCTTTTTCTCAGGAAGGCCAACACTACCGCCATGCATTTCATGCAAACCTCAGGGATGCTGAAAGGCTGAACAGGAGAATCATAAATTGGTATTGAGTCTGGTTTAGTGTGAACCTGAGAAACCTTCTGTGGACTTGGAAAATCAAGATGTGGAAATAATCATCTCTCAAGTCGAGGATGGTGTACCAGTCCCCCGGATCCAGGGAATGGATAATGGCGGTCAGGGAGACCAGGTGGAACTTCAGCTTTTTGGGGTAGCCGCTACAACGGCACAGGTCTAAAATGAGTCGGAGACCCTCCTTGGCCTGTGGAATTAGGAAATACTAGAGTAAAACCCCTTCCCTCTTAAGTCACGAAGAACCTCTCTCGCTTCCACTCAGAGGAAGACTTGTATCTCCTGAGCCAGAAATTGCTCATGAGAAGGAAAACATGTGGGAGGTGGTAGTAGAAATAAATGTAAGCATATAACCCCTTTCCACAGAGCTCAGCACACAGTGGTCTGAGGTGCTGAAGGGGGGCAGGCGGTCTGAAAACTAAAGGTGGATGTGATCTAGTGGCATGGGAACTGGTATAATGCCCTAAGGAATCCCATCAAAAGTTCTGTTTGGCTGGTAGGCCTCAGTATCCCAGGTAGGGATGCTGAGGCGGATGGGGGCAGCTGCCTGCATCTAAAACCCCTGCTTCATTTCTTTTGCAGGTCCTGATGGGGCGATGGAGCTGAGAAACAGGTGGAGTGCTGGGGCCTGAAGTGTTTCCTCAAAGGCACCATAAAGACCCAGAGACTTGAGGGTGGCTTTGGAGTCTTTCAGACCATGGAGCTTTGCATCTGTTTGCTCTGAGAAGAGCGAAGCGCCTTCAAACAGAAGGTCTGAATGGACTGCTCGACCTCCATTGGAGCCAAGACCATCTGTGCATGACCACTGTAGAAGCCATGGATCTAGCCGCCCAGTCTTTTGCATCCAGGGGAACCTGCAGGGAAGTCCTGGCTACATACTTACACTCATCTACCAGAGCACAGAACTCCTGCCTGAACTCCTCGGGAATTGAGTCCTTGAATTTTAACATCTAGTCACAGACGTTAAAGTCATACCTCCCGAACAACCCCACCTGCTGGTTGGAGCTGCAGACCTCCGTAGAATAAACCTTTGTACCAAAAGGTCTAGTCTGAGTCTTTCACTTCAGGGGTTGCTGCTTGTCTCCCTTGTCCATCTCGGTGGTCTCGGCAGCCGACGAGACCACCAAGGACCTGGGAGGGGGATGGGAGTACAAATAATCATACCCTTGAGTGGGAACAAAATACTTTTTTTCGGCTCTGAGGTGGGAGGCAGGGAGGATGGGGTTTGCCACAGGACTTTAACTGGTACCGTGATGGCCTCACTGAGAGGGAATGCCTCCTTCAATGGGGGTGCCACGCTCAAAATATCAGCCAGGTTGTTGGAGGACTCTATCTCCACTTTCAGCCCAAGGTTCGAGACCACTCTTTTCAACAGCTCCTGCTGAGCTTTGAAGTCATAGTGGGGAGGTGACACGCCCACCCGACACTGCCTCATCTGGGGAGGACGATGAGTAGGCCTGCACCAGCAGGGGGTCCTCTTCTCCTTCTGCACCGATCCGATCCTGAGGGTCTAGGTTCTGAGATCGGTACTAGGCTTGGTACTGGAGTCCAGATCGGGTGTTGCTCGATGGGATGGAAGTGCTTTCCTCTCTGAGACCACTGAGCATGAGCTCCTGGAGTCAGGGGAAAATCCCCCGGGTTCGAAAATGGCCATTGCATCTACATAGGCCAGTGCCCACTGCGCCAAGCACTTGGGGGTAGCCCTACACCTGGATCCACAACCTGATAAGGCTGACTGGGGTGGTACTGGGAAAAGTTCCTTGGCTGGGAATACAACTCCACTTCTGAGTCAAATGACGAGCCTTCCTCCAGGACCCACAGAGGAGCAGTACCATTCGGTGCCAGGGAATGGTGCTGAGGCGGGGAGACCTGAGTTGAGACCAGCAGGGACAGTTTCCCTCTTGACGGTACCGAACAGGAGCTTGGGGCAACATGCTGCCTTCTGCTCACTGGCACTGACATCGCCAATTCTTGTACTGCCAGCGACAGTGGTACCAAAAGTACCAGCAAATCCCTGGCTGCAACAAACGCCTCTGGAGTTGATGGCACCACAACTCTGCTGGTGCCACAATGTCCCTCCGGTGCCAAAGGTTGATCTGGGACTGGACTCAACAGAGCTTGCGTATAGGACAGAGTCAACGAAACCTCGGAGTGGGGGCAGAGGAGTGGCCACACTCAGCTGTGCTCTCCATGCTTGGCTTTCTTCAGAGTCGGGGAACATCTTCTCTCAGCCACCTGCTTATGTTTTTTCTTCGGCATAGGTGATGGGAAATGGTGCCAAGAGGCTCTCACAGTGGGAGAAGCACTCCACACCAACACCGAAGTGTCAAGTCGACCAGCTCAGCTCCAACAAGGGTCGGCACGCCGCCTACACCAAGATATTTTGGCCACAGCATCACACTGGGAGCTCACGTTCAGCTGATTATCCACCAGCACCAAATCTTTTTCAGAGAGTATCTGCTTTCCAGGAAAGAGTCCCCCATCCTGTAATTGTGACCTATATTCTTTGTTTACATTCAGCCACATTAAAATGCACATTGTTTGCTTGTGCCCAGTTTACCAAGCGATCCCAATTGCTCTGAGTGACGTGTCTTCTTCATTATTTACCACTCCTCCAATTTTTGTGTCATCTGCAAACTATCAGTGATGAGTTTATGTTTTCTTCCAGGTCACTGATAAAAATGGTAAATAGTGCAGGGACAAGAACAGATTCCTGCAGGACCCCACTGGAAAGAGACCCACTCGAGACAATTTCCAATTTACAACTGCAGTTTGAGACCTATCAGTTAGCCCATTTTAAATCCATTTAATATGTGCCATGTTAATTTTATATTGTTCTAGTTTTTTAATCAAAATATAGTGTGGTACCAAGTCAAACACTTCACATAGCCTAAGCATATTACATCAACACTATTACTTTCATCAACCAAACTTGTAATCTCATGGAAAAAGATATCAAGTTTGACAGGATCTATTTGCCATAAACCCATGTTGATTTACATACTACACAGACAGCACATATAACTCTTCCCCTGTATCCTTTTCATGCATTTGCTTTGCTGAGAAGTGGAGGAGATTCCAAAATGTTTAGTTTCAAAACACCTAATGCAAAGAGAGATAACATCTCTTAGTAAGACTCGATGCAGAGATGTCTGCGCCTTAGAAGTTTCCTGAACTCTCTTTACAAAATCTCATTTTTTCTTCATGAAGAAAAAAAATAGATTTGAAAAAGTAGTCAGTAAACAAAGAATCATGTTGCAAACTTGGATAGAAATCAGCATTTAGCTTTACTAGAAAAGATATTTTGGTGGTTTCACTTCACAAATAGTGAATGTTCATAGTCTGTCAGCTCTTCAACTGATTTTCAAGTAGAAGAAAAGCTGATTTTTCAATCACTAGTTCTTCAACATTACACAAAAGGGATTATTTGAAAGGAGTTTATATGTGCATGTAAACATGTAAGCTTACACGGGAATTAAATAGGCTTTCCTGGTGCTGCAATTCAATATTAAATATGCCTCCAAGAAGTTGTGTTATTTCATTATACTTGGTTTCACTATGAAAGTCATTTCCCCAATCCCTTCTCTTCCCGCTGACATCCTATCTTCTCTGAAAATAGCTCCAAATGCCAAGAAATAAGTTGTGACAAAAATAAGTCAAAGTTGTTAATCAACATTTAAAACTTTGAATAAAACACATCACAGGGTTATGTGTACAGCTTGAATACTCACTTAAAATGAAGATCTTTGAAAGTAAAATGAGTTTCCACTATTCCTGTAGTTTTCACTCTAGTCCTGAGAACATCCTGTTGCGTCGGGATGTAACTGGTTTGTGCTATCCTGTCCAAATCATTCAAGTAACTAAAGATAAAATAAACACCGCTTTTAATTATTTTAAAAAAAGTTAAGAGATTTGCACAGATAAAGGTATTTTATCTGTTATAAAAGTTAACATATCTAAAAATCCTCACATCTATTCAGCACATTCAGTTTAGCGCTCATCATAGACATGTGCGGGGACAGTATTCTTTGGGGTAAAAACAGAGAACCTGCATACTACATTCACGTATTACGGGTTATTTATCAGTTTAAAAATAGAATTTGGCAAGCCTTTACTAGTTAAAAAAATGCATACTGAAAAATATTAAGAAAGAAAAAACATTTAAGCAATTCATTCCATCTTAAATAATTCTTCCTTCTAAGTCTCAGAACCCGTGTGGTTTTCTTTCAGTTGGTGCAAGCAATTATAAAGTAGGAAAACATGTAAACAAAGAATACATATTATCTTTACACCTGTCTACAGAATTAAAGTATTTTAATATGCTGTCCCTTAATGGGAATTATTAAATGTATGAAGAATGTTCCAACCAAAATACTGAATCAACAGATGTTCATGTGACTTAATGCTCTATGATTCTGTTTATTGACTAGGTGGCTGGTTTGGCACACTGTAACACAGTAACTTTCCTTCTAATCAGATAGTCTTGAAAACAAAGCCTTGTGTTTTACTTTCTGAAATTCTTGAGATGCATGCCATCAGTTCAGTGCTTTAAATACAGTACATAAGTGATTTTATTTGCATTCACTTTGAAAAGGAACAGAAAAAAGGAACGGCTACCTATGTGATCAGAAATTATCAACTTCAGGGACATAATTAGGGGTTAAGTAAACTGTGCTGTCATTATAAAATTGCAGGAAAGAGAAGAGAAGGTTACTGGAGGTTCTTTGAGATGTGTGCTCCCTATATGTATTCCACTGAGGGTTATGCACATGTGCTGGAGCTTTTCAAAGTACTATTGCTTGACTGTCCGCACGGGCACCTTTGTATTGCCTTGTGGGTTCGATCGATTGTATTAGTACCGATTGTATTCCATGGAGGGTGATTGAGACAAGAGGGTGCAAGGAAGATGGTGGAACCGTAGAACCGAGGACTACTGCACCGAATGAAGCATCCGTCGCAGCATCATGTACTAGAGGATAGTGAGAAGGAAAGGTGTGTACTGAACTCCACGTGGCTGCCTTACATATGTCCGCAAGGAATCTATCATGGAACATGGCTCTGGTTGATGCTTGTGCTCTCATGGAATGGGCTTGTATCCCATCTGGTGGGGAGTTCCCTGACAATTGATAGCGACACTTAATGAACCCTGAGACCCACTGAGAGATTCTCTGGGTGGAAATGGCATGTCCTTTAATTCTCTCAGCTATGGCAACAAATAGCCTGGGAGACTTTGAGAATGGCTTCGTCTTTTGTAGGTAAAAGGCTAGGGCCCTACACACATCGAGGGAATGAAGCCACCGTTGCTCATTAGTGGTTTTGGAAGGGAGGTAGGCAGATGTATGGGTTGGTTGAGATGGAATTGGGAAACCACTTTTGGCAGAAACTTGGGATGCAGTCACAGTGAGACCTTGTCCTTATCTAGTGTGGTGAAAGGGGAGGAGGGGGGACACCATAGTTTGTCCAGTCTGACCAATCGACGACCAGAGCGTTGATCAGTGAGTGAGCACCGAGTCTTCTCCTGGAGCAATACTGGGTGCACTTGGTGTTGGTGCAAAAAGGTCTCTGATTAGTGTACCCCAACGACCAAAGTTGTCTGTGATTATCATTTCGTGCAACTCCCATTTGTGGTCGGTTGTAAAGTTCTTGCTGAGAGAATCTGTGATCACATTCTGGGTGCCAGGCAGGTAGGCTGCTGACAAAAGGATATGATGTGCAATGCACCATTCCTAGAGGTGAATTGCTTCCATACACAGCGCTGGGGACTTGTGCCACTTTATGTAGTATACTGTGGTGGTGTTGTCTGACATGACGAGGACGTGGCAATAGCAGATAGCTGGTAAGAACACGTGACATGCTTTGTGTACTGCTCAAAGTTCGATTATGTTTATGTGCATCCTGGACTCTCGCATGGGTCCAGATACCTTGTGTCATGTGATCTCCAATGTAAGTGTCCCAGCCCAGTGGTTCTCAACCAGGAATACACGTACCCCTGGGGGTATGCAGAGGTCTTACAGGGGGCACATCAACTCCTCTAGGTATTTGCCTATTTCTACTACGGCTACATAAAAAGCACTAGCAAAGTCAGCACAAATTTCATACAATGACTTGTTTATACTGCTCTATATACAATACACTGAAATGTAAGTACAATATTTATATTCCAATTGATTTATTTTATAAGTATATGGTAAAAATGAGAAAGTAAGCAATTTTTCAGTAACTATGCTGTCACACTTGTATTTTTATGTCTGATTTTGTAAGCAAGTAGTTTTTAAGTGAGGTGAAACCTGGGGTACGCAAGACAAATCGGACTCCTGAAAAGGGCACAATAGTCTGGAAAGGTTGAGACACACTGCAGCAGCCTGTGAGTAACACGCCCAATATGAATATCACAGTCGGCAAGGATGGGAGGAAGGGCATCCCGGAGCAGACTTGTAGTGGGTCTGTCCACCACCAAAGAGAAGAGATGACACTGAGTGGAATGTTAAGTAGGGTGTGCACAGATTGGTGCATAGGAGAATAGATTCTTTGCAGCCATAGCTGTAGACAGTGAAGATGCAGGCGGGTGAAGGGCGTGATGTATGTGCACGCCGCCATGTGCCCTAGAATGGAAAGGCAGGTCTTGGCAGAGACTAAAGAATTGGAGATTATCAGGGCTATTTGGTTCAGTAGGCTTTGGAATGTGACCTGTGGCATACAAGCTCATGCAGAGATCACATCAATGTGAGTTCCTATGAATGTGAGAGAACTTGTTCACCTTTGCCTCTAAGGATAGAACCAGAAACAATGGGTTTAAACTGCAGCAAGGGAGGTCTAGGTTGGACATTAGGAAAAAGTTCCTAACTGTCAGGGTGGTTAAACACTGGAACAAATTGCCTAGGGAGGTTGTGGAATCTCCGTCTCTGGAGATATATAAGAGTAGGTTAGATAATTGTCTATCAGGGATGGTCTAGACAGTATTTGGTCCTGCCATGCGGGCAGGGGACTGGACTCGATGACCTCTCGAGGTCCCTTCCAGTCCTATAATCTATGAATCTATGAATTCCAGGGACTAAGGAGGGCACAAAGTTGATTTTTCGACATTGATGCTCACTCTTAGGGAGAAGTAGAAGCAGCTGGGATATCAATGCTTGAGCTTCCTCTTTGGACCACACTGCCAACAGCCAGTTGTCCAGATAGGGGAAGACAAGGATTCCCTGACATCATAAGTGAGCCGCTACCACAGAGAAAACCTTTGTAAAAACTCACGGGGCAGCGGTGAATCTGAATGGGAGAACCCTGTATTGGAAGTGCCGTTGCCCCACTTTGAACCTCAGGAACCTTCTGTAGGTCATATGTATGTTGATATGGAAGTATGCATCTTGCATGTTGAGAGCCACATGCCTTTTTCCAGTGAGGGAATGATGGCCACAAGCGTGACCATATGGAATTTCAACTTGCAAATCGAATGGTTGAGGTGTCAGAGATCCAAGATTGGTCTCCATCCTGCTTTCTTCTTGGATACCAGGAAATAGTTGGAGTAGAACTCTGTGCCACAAAAGGCTGCCAGGACTGGCTCCCCTGCTCCTCTCTGCAGGAGGAAGTCCACCTTTAGGGTAAGAATATGGTCATGAGGAGGGGGGCAGGAAGGGGATGTGGAGGAGGCGTCATCGAACTCTATGGTGTAGCCACATCGAATGACATCCAAGACCCCTATGCCCATTGTTATATAACTCTCAAGCTGGTAGAGAAAGAGTTTCAAACAACCCTCGAAAGGGGCGGAGGGTAGGAGCACTGGTGTGCAGAGTGACCGATAGTGCTCTAAGTGCACTAAGAGACCACTTTCGTGATGAAAGAGTGTTGTTCAGAGGTCTGCGTTGCCGGAATAGGCAGACATGCTCCGAGTACCTTAGGGCACTTCTGAAGAGGTTCGTAGGCCCACTGACGGCCAAAGCGTGGAGTTCTGTATTGTTGGGCTGATGGTGGGCGATAAAATTTCCTCCTTGGTGCTGGTGTATCTATGCCCAAGGATCGTAAGATGACTCTAGAGCAGTTGTGAGCAACCTGTAGCCTGTGGGCTGCATGCGGCCCATCAGGATAATCTGATTGCGGGCTGCGAGACATTTTGCGGACGTTGAGCATCCGCAGGCACACCCTACCCGCCCCCCCTCCCCCGCAGCTCCCAGTGGACGCAGTTCACCGTTCCCGGCCAATGGGAGCTGCAGGAAGCGGCGACCTGTCCAACCATGGGCTGCAGGTTGCCCACCACTGCTCTAGAGTTTTTTAGTTAGTGTAAGGAATCATCAGTTTTCTGGTTGAAGAGGTGTGATTCATTGAAGGAAAGGTCCTCAATAGTGTTCCGCACCTCTCTAGGGAAACCTAAGGAGTGTAACCAGGATTCCTTCCTCATGACAATTCCAGTCACCAATACACGCAAGGACATGTCCGCTGAACCAACTGCAGCCTGAAGTATGGACTTGGTGACAAACTCGTCTTCCTGTACAATTGCTTGGAATCAAGTACAATCCTGATGAGGTAACTTATCTGCAAATTCCTCCATCCAGCCATAGTTCATAAAGCCATTCTTGGCCATCAGTGCCAAGTAATTAGAGATCTGGAACTGCAGTCCAATTGAGGATAAGACTGTTCGACCCATGAGGTCAGGTCTCTTACCCTCCCTGTCTGCCGAGACTGAGCGTGGGTATTGTTGTTTGGTCTGCTCTAAAGCAGCCTGTATTACCAAGAAGTTAGGTGGAGGGTGTGAAAATAAAAGTTCTGGTCATGCGTGGTGGGGGAGAGGGTAAGAGAGGCTCAGTATCTTTTTGCAGCCCCCTTTGGGGTTGGTACACACGTGTCCAGGATGTGCCATACAGTGCGTGCTGGTTGAAGAATAGCATTATTGATTGGTAAGGCTATCCTTGCCAGTACTAATGTATGCAGAATATCTAGTAACTGGTGCCAACTGTCCCACACCTCTTCCCGTGGGATCTCAAGGACAATGGCTATCTCCATAGAAGTTCTTAAAACTGACGATAGTCATCTGGTGGGGAGGAAGGTGTTGATGACATAGCTGCATCTGGAGATGACAAAGGGAATCTCTCCTGATCTGCCAGTACCATTGGAGCCGGCCTGATAGGTGCCTCATCTAACCCCATTTCTGAACCTCTGCCGGACAAAGGGTGGGAGGGTGAAACAGTGGAGTTCTCCTGAGCCGAACGAGACTATTTTGGAGGAATATATTGGGGCCATGAGCTCCAATATGGCCAACCCAGTTGATCCTGCTGCTGTTATGCTTGTGCCCAAGGAGACAGATACCAGCTTCTTGGGTAAGGGCAAGGTGGAAACTGCTATGGAGCTGTTGGAAGTCTCCGGTAGTCGTGTTTCCTGAATGGAAGCGGCAGACCATGCTGAACGCCCAGATTGTCAGATTCAGGGAAGTCGGAGTCTTGCATGAATGCCAGTGCCGATGGAATGGGAGGTGTTAGAGGGGTACGGCCAGCAGGTGATATATGTAACGCATGAGATGGAGCTCTCTACAGAGGTGAGTGCATCAGAACATGCGTTGATATAGCTCCCTCCAGGGTGAACGGTTCGTGAGGGCTGAAACTGCTTCCGAGTTTCCACAAAGTCAATAATAACCGGAACCAGTAAAGGTATCTGGGATGCGACCAACCAAAGCAGGAGGGGTACGCAGATCTGGCACCGGGACCGGCAGATCCGGCAAGTGGTGCAGCCTCTTATCACTCAGGCGAAACCACAAGACAATACAAGGGCAAATACGCAGACCACTGAGCAAAACTACTTTGAAAAGCTTCGGCTCCGGGCGCATGTGGAATATAATAGGGACCATCACTCAAAAAGGAATGACTATTTCCCCAATAAAGCTAGTTACCTAAAATACTGAAGCCCTAGAGACTTTGAGGGATCTTATTAGAAGTAGGAAAATGACGCACAAAAATGACTTTCCAGTTCTTTTGGTCATGGATGTGCTTTCTTCAGGCTCATCTTTCTATTAAGTTATTTGCTACCTTGAGTTTCATCCTGTTTGTCCCTATTCTTGATGGCTTAAAGAGTCTAGAAAGTTCAAGCTGTCCTTCAGGTTCAGAGCAGATAAAAGCAGGCTGGAGATCTCTACAGCAGTGTTTTTCAACAACTGATCCGTAGACCAATGCCGGTCCCCGAGATCTCCCTGACAGAGTTTAGGAAGGCAGCAAGCCAGTCCCTGGTATCAAAAAGGTTGAGAAACACTGATCTATAGTATCTCAATGCACTAATGGCATCATGTTTTTGTTCATTATATATGGATTTGAATCGGTCACTTTGTTATATTTTTGAAAATTAAACCAATCATTTAGCCTGTGTACCGATCAGTATTGGTAATTCATGGTTTAGATATGCTTCAGCCACACTATCCCGATCCTTTTCCTTTCTACTGCAAAAAAAACTAGTAGCAGCAAATTTGAAGAGCAGTCAGGAACAGAAGATTTATTAAACTTAGTGTACTTTCACATAATTCAGAATCATGATTTACACATCACAAGCCTGTAATTGCATCATCTTATTACTATTATCATCCTCCTTCTACCCTATTTTCCATCTGTTTTTCCTCTCTTGCTGCATCTAGTCTTAATTAGTTTTAAACTCATTGGGGCAAGAACTATATCTATCTATGCATTTGTACAGTGCCTAGCACAACAAAGACAAATCCTGATTGGTATTTTTGGATGCTACCACAATATTAACATAATGGAAGTGAAGCAAAGTTCAATCGATAATGCTGATTCAGAGCCAACAGTCATGAAAGGTTTCCGTATACAGAACAAGTAGCCTTGAGACCACAACAACTCACCCCACCCCCAATATATGGGCAGAAATATAACAACTGGCCACATAAAGCATTCGAGAGTACCTGTTAGTTTTTATTTCTCACATTAACTGCTCTGGGTACTGTTCACAGATTTGACCTGTTAATTCCAGCACAACACTTAGGTTCCCCACCCAACTCCTTTTCTTCGAGTTCAGACTTCTACTTCAGGACTGCTGCAACTGTCTGATCCCAGAAAAGGACCTCTCTGTCTAGGTACTTCTAAGACTCCCATCAACATAGTATCAGTTCTACACTTACTAAGCTGCAGAGTCATTAAGCTGGTATTCTCTGGATCTATTGAAACAGGCTTGAACTCCACTATCTTTCCACAATCTCTTGATGACTCCTGCAAGTTCCGTGGTCATAAATCCTTCCTCTGCTGCTCCAGCTAGTACAAAGAGTTGTCGGGCATCATCCTGTAAGAAACATGGAAACAGAAAACTTGAGGGGGGAAAAAAAAAACTAGAGCAGAAATCCATACCATTCCTTTAAATTAATAGAAGGATTTAAAAGCATCAGCCCAGTCCACAGCAAATGGATGAATTAGTAGACTAAGGAAATGAGTATGTCTACACAGCCCATGACAGTGACCTCCCGACCCAGGCTGGCAGACTAGGTCTCACAGAGCTCATGCTACTGTAACCCACATGCCTAATAGGGAGATCTCTTTAAGAGATCTATAGGGGTGGGGTAGGAATAAGTTGTGTCTGGGTCCTTATTGTAAGGCAGATGCACAATTAGATCTCCACACTCAGAAGTTTCTGGACTTGGATGTGGCAGTTTTGGGAATGCTAAATAGGTTCCCTGTTGCTGAACTCAGACTCCATGAGGGCAAGTAGTCAGGGCAGCTACTTTACAAAAGGCCATATGCCCTATGTAGTTTGGGAGAAGTTGAGCTTCTGGAGCAGAAAGCAGACTGTTTTCCCTAACGCTAAAGCATTTTGCAGCAGTTAAAAATCTATATACTGAACTAAGTGGTTGATTAATTGTTTAGCTAACTAGCTAACTGAGTTCATTTCAGCAGAGCAGGAGGAAGAGTCTTCATGGATTTCAACTGAAGATTTCTACAAGCAAGTGGTGGGAAGATGTTGCTTTTAACTCAGCAGACTATATAAATTTCATGATCAAAGACTAATAGAGACTCAGGTGAACTCAACCTAAGCTTTTGGGAACTCAATTTCTTTTAACTGGGTTTCTGTGGGGACTGACCTGTTTAGATTTAATTTGTAAAAAGCAACAGAGGGTCCCTGTGGCACCTTTAAGACTAACAGAAGTATTGGGAGCATAAGCTTTCGTGGGTAAGAACCTCACTTCTTCAGATGCACTTGCACTTGCATCTGAAGAAGTGAGGTTCTTACCCACGAAAGCTTATGCTACCAATACTTCTGTTAGTCTTAAAGGTGCCACAGGACCCTCTGTTGCTTTTTACAGATTCAGACTAACACGGCTACCCCTCTGATACTAGATTTAATTTGTTTTCTTTATTTATGCTTATGTACAAACTGTGAAGATAATGTATGTGGATTATAAAGTAGCCATGTTATGTTGTGAAAAATATATTATTAACTATGTTTCTTTATCATAAGATTTTATAAAGTTGGTACTTAATTAAGTTTACTCCTTTTGTTCTTTCTGGGACTTGAGTGTGGGGAGGTTGACCCTGTACAATCCTTGCTGAAAAATCTTTAGAGACTGAATCTGGGTCTCTTACTGCTTTTCTATGGGAGCTGGGGTTTTTAAGGCACTGGAGAAGGGCAATGAAGTGAACTCTAGCCCACCCAAAGGTTACACTAACACACTAAAAATAGCAGTGTAGACAGCACTTTGAAGTTGTAACTCAGGCTGGAGCTCGGGCTCTAAAGCCCACCCCTGTGCCTGGGCTTCTAAGCCCAAGCTGCAACAGCTACACATCGATTTTTAGTACAGTAGCACAAGTCTGAGTCTGTCCATCCAACTGTAGAAAATAAAAGCCTATTGTTAATTGAGGTTTTTATATATCGACATATTGGTAGTAAATCAAATAGCTGCATGAAGACACAAAATGTTATTGATAAGGAAATTTGTAAGATTTCAACAAGAAAAATAAGTGGAACCAGCATATTTCAAGTTGAAGCCAAACTCCAATCTCATTCTAGTCCTCAAAACCAACCGGATACAGTTATATTTACACTCAAATTTTTACAGATACATTTACGTGAATTCTGAATTTGTAGTACACTATTTTTTAAAGACCTACAAAAAAAAAATCAACTGTGAGTACAAGCCATAAATTGCTAGCTCTCCTCAAAGCATTCCTCCTCTTCTGTCAGCAGATGCATCAGGTAACCAATCGTCTCAATATACTAGAAAAAGTTTTCTTCATTTTTCCCAAAAAATACTAGAGGTATTAAGCTGCAAGCCTATTTTACCCAGCAAGAATCCATTCTCTCTCAATGCTGGCCAACATCGAGCAACTAATAGTTCTTAATAGAACAAATATGGGGGGTTTAAAAATTAAATTGTTGAATAAAAGGCAGAATATAGAAAACTATTCAACCATGAGTAATTTTTGTGGTACATGTATTGCATTATTGCATTTTATTTCTCCTCCCATTTCTAGATATGGTGAGAATGAAGAGCAGTTCTTGTTTTGAGGGGGGTTAACCATTATGTTATCATATTAGAACACTATGGAATTCATAAGTCATATCATAGTATCACTAGTTAAAAAATTCTTATCTTACACTTATGCTGCTCTGACCTTCAATACACACAAGTCTAACCACAAGAAAAAAAACCCCTTCCTTACAGCTTAATTTTCAGATCTGTTTGAAATGATAGTACAGGAATGGCATCTCCCAACATCACGAGAATTGTATGTCATTGTCTTTTTGCTCTGATTCTCCCACAGGCAAGGCTTGCTTGTTTGTCACCAACTCAAATATGGGTCCCAGTTCTCCAGGAAAGAGATTGCAGTTCAAATTTTGCCTTCATTTACAAGAGCGAAACTTTCACTGAAGGACAATTAGACTGACAGGTGTAACTGAGGGCAGAATTTGACCACAGCTGTTCTATACACTTACCAATATAGAGATGAAAAAACCCTGCCCCAAGGAGCAGACAATCTCTACAATGGATTACATAAACAACTGAAGTAGTAACAGACACCAAGAAAGGACGTTTGTTAAATACACAGATATTCTCTTTATGAATATATACATATGAGTAGTTGAAATATTTGTTTTATTTTGAAGTATAAGCATACTTTTGAGAGTGGCAGAGGTGATTTCTCTGGAATGATTTGAATAAAACAGTGGAGTCTTGACAAGAGAACTGAGAAACATACTATAAGCAAAGGGGAGCATGGCAGGAGACACAGAGACAGCTCCTGCTGCAGAAGATGGAAAGTAGGTCTCAATTAGACTGGTATCTTTGGTGGAATGGAAAGGGATAGGAGACTTTGGATTCAAAAGGTGACCATGTTAGAAATGTAAGTGGGGCTGCATGATGCAGGGCACAATTTATAGAGCACAGAACTATTTATGAAGCTAGCAATCACCTGCCTCTCTTCATCCCACCTCCAATTCCATCAACAAATCCTTCAGTGCCACATTTCCCTTTACAGAAACAGTAGACACACCAAGTGTGGCTGTATTAGGGGACATTAGGGTCAACTTTTCTTTTTATGAAGTTAAGTAATGTGGGGTTTCTTCCATCCTTCACAAACAGTCTGGAATAGAGGGGCTTCCCTTCAGGAAAAAAGTTACTAACTTTTCCGTAACTACTGTTCTTTGTGATGTGTTGCTCATGTCCCTCAGTGATATCTGGCAGACTGGCTCTAGCGCCCTCTGGTGCCATGCGCTCATGTGCTGGTATAAAGGGCCTGGCTGGCCCCTCACCCTCTCAGTTCCCTCTTGCTGATTACACTGGTCTACCATTTTTGAGAAGTCGTCTGCTTCAGAGATAAAATGTGCTATTTGTTATGTATTTTGATGTGCTGAATTCAAATATGACAATTAAAACAACTGATTGGCTACTGTTTCTAAGATATTTAAGTTTTTACATTTTATGTCTATGTATATTGTGTAGATAGAGTTTTAATCATAAATTGTAAACCTAGGTCTTTTCATGTGTTTATGGTTGCTTTACATGATAATATTTCACCTGTCCTGTTTACGTAACACTTTAAAAATCAGCAAAAGGGTTATATAAATAAAATTTATTATGAAACAAAAGGCAAAAAACTATTATGTACATAGTTTAGTCCTATTCAGTGTCTACTCGGCGCTTCTTGGCTTTTCTCTTGGATTTATTTAATGGAGCACCTCTTGTCACTGTGCAGCAATAGTCTGCAAGCACTTATGGTCTCCATTTGCCCTGATAGCGTTTCTCCATTGTTGCAATGTCCTGGTGAAATCGCTCGCCATGCTCGTTGCTCACTGCTCCGCAGTTCGGTGGGAAAAAATCTAGATGAGAGTGCAAAAAATGTATCTTTAGTGACATGTTGCAACCAAGGCTTTTGTATGCCTTGAGGAGGTTTTCCACCAACAACTTGTAGTTGTCTGCCTGGTTGTTTCCGAGAAAATTTATTGCCACTAACTGGAAGGCTTTCCATGCCGTCTTTTCCTTGCCACGCAGTGCATGGTCAAATGCATCATCTCGAAGAAGTTCACGAATTTGAGGACCAACAAAGACACCTTCCTTTATCTTAGCTTCACTTAACTTTGGAAATTTTCCACGGAGGTACTTGAAAGCTGCTTGTGTTTTGTCAATGGCCTTGACAAAGTTCTTCATTAGACCCAGCTTGATGTGTAAGGGTGGTAACAAAATCTTCCTCGATTCAACAAGTGGTGGATGCTGAACACTTTTCCTCCCATGCTCCAATGACTGTTGGAGTGGCCAACCTTTCTTGATGTAGTGGGAATCTCTTGCACAACTATCCCATTAGCAGAGAAAACAGCAGTACTTTGTGTATCCAGTCTGCAGACCAAGCAAGAGAGCAACAACCTTCAAATCGCCACAAAGCTGCCACTGATGTTGGTCATAGTTTATGCACCTCAAAAGTTGTTTCATGTTGTCATAGGTTTCCTTCATATGGACTGCATGACCAACTGGAATTGATGGCAAAACATTGCCATTATGCAGTTAAAACCAGCTTTAAGATTCGTCTTCGATGAATCAATGAACCGTCTCCACTCATCTGGATCGTTGTAGGACTGATGAATGAAATTGTT